TCACAACACAAAGTCAGGAAATCAAGAAAGATCAATTTAAGAAGCAGAAGCAGAGAGAAGAGTACCACAGATAATGGGGGAACGAAGAAACACCCCCCAGTTGAAGGGAAAGGTGGAATTCCCCAGAGAGAAATAAATGAAATAAAGGCAAGTAAACTATCAGATATTGAGTTCAAAACAATGGTTCTAAGGAAGCTCAATGAGCTCGGTGAGCTCAGAGACAATTACAAAAAACTGCAGGGAAACTATGAGGAACTTACTGCAAACTGTATCAGCATGGAAAAGGACACAGAAACTATCCATAAGAGACAAGAGGAAATGAAGAATACAATTTCTGAATTGAAGAATACAGTAGAAGGAATCAAAAGCAGGCTAGACGAAGCAGAGGATCGAATCAGCGAGCTGGAGGATAAGGTAGAAAAAGCTCCCAGAAAGAGCAGGAAAATGAAAAAAGACTTAAAAAGAATGAAGAAGCATTTAGGGAAATGCAGGACAACCTGAAACGTAGTAATATTCATATCCTAGGGATACCAGAAGGAGAAGAAAAGGAGTAAAGGATAGAGAACTTGTTTGAAAAAGTAATGATGTCCCACTCCTAGGTATTTATTTACTCAAATGAAAACTAATGTCCACACATATACCTGTATGAGAATGTTTATAGCAGCTTTAGTCATAATTGCCAAACTTTCCCTCATTGGAGGAGAGAAAAAGTCACAAAAGCCCAGGAAGCACAGAGGGTCCCATTCAAGGGGAACCCAATGAGGCCCACTCCAAGACACATCATAATTAGAATGGCAAATATCAAAGACAAACAGAGACTCCTAAAGGCAGCAAGGGAGAAAGAGGTAGTAACATATAAGGGAGCCCTGGTATGGCTAGCAGCTGACTTCTCAACAGAAACACTACAAGCCAGAAAGGAATGGCAGGAAATATTTCAAGTAATAAAAAGCAAAGGCCTGCAATCAAGACTGATGTACTCAGCAAGGCTCTCAATTAAAATGGAAGGCAAAATAAGGAGTTTCCCAGATGAAAGAAGGCTAAAAGAACATACCAAACCAGCATTGCAACATATGCTAAGGGACTGCTTTAAGAAGATGAAGAAAAAGAGTCTATGAATACCCAGTTCCTTTCACAGTCACCAATACTTGATACTACCAATATTTTTAATACTTAATAATCTGACTGTGAAAATGATGTGTTATTTTAATTGTTACTTTGTTATTTGTTGAAATTAAGCCTGCTTTTGTATATTTCTGACCTATTTCTATTATTTTTTAAAAAGCTTTAAGTGACTTTCTGGTACTCTTTATTCATTTTTTGACGAAATGTTTGTAGAATTTTTTCCCCTAAAAAACAAAACAAAACCAAAAAAGCCTATTAACTCTTTTATAGATGTGTTGGAAATACTTTCCTATTCTATTTCTTGTCCTTTAACGTTTTTACATGAATATTACTGTATAGTTTTAAATGCTTAATACAGTCATATTGTCAATATTTTACTTTATAGCTTCTGGGTTTGAATATGTTACCCCAGGGTAAAGAAAACATTATTTTGTATTTTCTCCTAGAACTCCTTAGATTTTACGTATTGATTTTTAATTAACCTGAATACTTTCTGTAAAAATATGAAATAGGGCTCTATTTTTGTTTTATTTCAAATCATAGTGGTCCATGCACCTTATATGTTAAATAAGCCTTATTTTCCCCACTGATTTGAAATATCAATTTAATCACATATTACTTTGTTAGAAAGATGTATACATTTATTTCTAGGATGCTCATTGTATTTCATTGATCTACTTGGTTATTTCTGTGCAGGTGTCATGATTTCTGAGACTTTATAATGGATTTAAATTTTTTAGTATTTTATAATGGATTTTGACATTTTAAAATATAAATAAATAAAGTCAATCCACATTAAAAATAAAGAGAGAAAGAGAGAAGAAACTCCTACCTTTTACAACAAAATGGGTGGAACTGGAGAATATTATGCTAAGTGAAATAAGCCAGTTGGTGAAAGACAAATACCATATGATCTCACCTTTAAGTGGAATCTCTTCAAGAAAATAAGCTAATGAACAAAATAAAGCACAGGCACGGAGACATGGAGCAGACTGAAAGTGGCCAGAGGGGATGGGGAAGGAGGACAATGGTGGAAAGAAGGGGCAGGGACTAGACAAAGAACATGTGTGAATGACCCACGGACATGGACAACAGAGTGGGAGTTGACTGTGGGAATGGGGGAGGGGCTGGGCTGGGTGGAGGAGGGCAAAGGGGGAAAAACTGAGACAACTGTAATAGAATAAACATGATCTAAAAATAAAATTTAAAAAATCTATCAAGTAATTCCTCATAGTAACAATCTAATAAAGTATACAATCATCTTAAAAGTACACAATCACACCTTAAAAGGTGTGGGAATAAAAACATTTGACAAGACTCAATATCCATTTGTGAAAAACAAAAACTGTCAGCAATTTAGGAGTAAAAGGAAACTTTGTCAATCCAATAAAGGGTATCTACAGAAACTATAGTGATATATTTAATGCTATTAAACTGAATGCTTTCCCCCAAGCCTGTGCACAGGAATGTCTGCTCTCACCACTCCGATTCAATTGAAGTGGAGAGGCCTACACAGAGCAATTAGGCAAATATACACAGGAGTGGTGAGACCACACATTCCGTATATATTATATACATACAGATCAGAAATTCAATTAGACTTTTTTCTTGCTTTAATTTCCAACTGCTCATTGCTAGTATACAAAAATATAATTGATACTTTTCTGTGACCTTAATGAACCCATTTACATAGTCTTGTAGTATTTTTTGTAGATTCTTTTTATTTTCATTATAATGTCTATAAATAGAGATGATGGGCATTGAAAATGGGACAGTCAACTATGAAAACATTTCGGTAGTATCTTAATATATTCACTAACCATATAAACTAGCAGTCCCACTTCTAGGTTTTTATTTACTCAAAAGAAATGAAAACAAATGTCCACACATATACCTGTATGAGAATGTTTATAGCAGCTTTAGTCATAATTGCCAAAAAACTGGCAACAACCCAAAGATCCATCAATGGATGAAATTGAAACACTCACAATCATTTTTTTTTTTAATAAAATAAACTCAGAATAAAGGAGAGGTGGGAAGCAAAACAGTTTGAAGAAACTTCAGCTAGAAAAATATCAAATGGACTGCAAGAAAAAAAGACTAGAAGAAAGAAGAGTCATCTAGATACTAGAGTCATCTTGGAAAGATCCAAAGGTACTTTTAAAATGTCCTCTGCTTAACCTGGGAGGTTATCAGGTAGTTCAGGACTGTGGATCGATGCTGCCTGGGTTCAATTTCCAGGCTCCTCTCCATGATTTTGAGCACATTAATAGTACCACCTTCACAGTGTTAATGTAAAGATTAAATGAATTAACATATGTTTAGCAATTTTCAAGGTGCCTGAGCTGGTTATTAGCTGTTATTATTGTAATTGTTATTTTTGTTGAGCAGCTCTTAAAACTGTTATTAATCCTACCACTGATTTGGCAGAATTCGGTCCAATATGTATTCTGACTGACTCCTAAAAATAATGATCTTATTTTCTCATCTCTTTGAAATTTTCTAGACATTCTATAACACAAGCAACAAGGATCTTAACCCAAGTATTTTCTCTGTTCATATTTAAAGCACACCTTATAAGTTCTGATACCATTTGCTGAATTTATTAGATATCTCTTATGCTATCCCTACATTCATACTTGTTCTTGTTTCTGTTCTGATTGTGATCTTAGCTTTCCAGTAATATTTAACACTTTGATTATCCTTCAAGCACCTAATTTCACAGCTTAAAACCACAAAAAGGTAATAACTTTCTCCCATCTCCACACCGACTAATAAGATGCTAGGGAAAACATATCTAGAAATCACCTGTTTTTCCTTCTTTTATAAAAGTACACCTCTCTTCTTCCTAGAGAATCACTGCTCTTCCCAAATCTTTCTTTCCTCCTTAGTTAAATGAAGACACTGTATTAGACAAAAATTGTTCTGAACTAAATATGTACGTAATTTGAACTCCAGTTAAATATATTAAAGGAGCATGAGTGGTATAGGATAATGATGTTTTTTTAAAAATCAGTTTTGCTAACTGGTGGTAATTGGTATACAGAATATAATCAAACCAAATTAATAATACCAAGATTTATAAATTGCGCATCACTATAAAATTTAATACAAATGCAGTGTAGAAGCCCCATTTTTACATAATCTCCATTAATTTTATAGTATAACTTATATTTTTCTATTTATAGCTGCTATATGTTACATATATTACATAAAACAAATCTCTTTGCTGTTATATTTTGCTTTCATTCATATTTTTTAATTTATATACACTTGAATGAGCAACTGCCATACAAATTTTAAAAAACAACAACAAAAATACACATTTCCCAAGTACTTTACATCTTCCCACTTCCCTCAGGTATTGCTATAATTTGCAACGATCAGATTTCATGCAAATTATGCAATGACATCACAAAGCTTTATTTTAAGAGAGTAGCCTAAAAGTAAAATAAACATTAAAACCAAAGGTTTTTATACCCTAAACATTTTTATTTACTATTAATTCCCTATGTTCACAAAAGTATACATACTTGCAAAAGATCAGAATTAAGAAATAGGCAAGAACATTTCTTTAAATAATAAGTTGGTATTTATTCTTTACAATAGAAGTTAAAAATTGATTAAATAAACCAAATTCCTAGAGATTACTCCCAAATATCAGGTTGGGCATTAGAGGAAGCAGGCCAGTTTCTCTCAGAAGTTATCAAAATATTTTAGTAGTCGGGTCAGCTATTTTGGTTGCCTTTTAAAACAAATTAATTATGATAAAGAGAAAAATTATTTCCAAATATACATCAAATTTCATGAGCGTAAAGTAAGGTGGAAAACCTCCAAACAAGGAAGAAGAACCTGTTAAAGTTTCGGAAGGCACTTACCTCATGCACTAGAGCAAGCGAGGTCTGCTTGAAACTACGCCCTCTACTGGCCATCAGTCGATTCAAAGGTTTGCCATCTTTACTCTGGTACATTGAAACATCGTAACAAAACAACATGCCACCTTAAAAAAGAAACAGAAAGACATTTTTTTATGAAAATAACTTTATTAATCACATTTCCAGTAATCAATATTTAATCAATATATATAGAGATATTTACCAATTAAAAGAATTTGCCAGGTAAATTATATTTGACTATAGGAGTCCAAGGAAAGAAAAAGTAGAAGAAATATATAACTTATATTTAAACTGCAACTTATTTAACAGCTTTATTCACTTTTAAATAAATGATTAAATTTACAAGTCATGGTTTTAAATCTTATGAACTGTTACTTTAGAGATTTTATTAAGCTTTTTTTAAAAATTCCAGTTAAAGAGAAATGCTTGCACATATCAATCTCCTGATACCATGGGCTCCTTTAGTTTATACCTACAAGTGGACAAGTTTTCCCTCATACTAGCATTTACATACATTCATTCTCTCTTTTTCCCTCCCTCCTCCGCTCACCCTTCTCTTCCCAGTCCTTCCCACTCTTGTCAATTAAGTTCTCAAACTGAACTTCCAGCTCCAGCAGGCCACCAGTATCAATGGAATAGCAAGGGCAGGCAGCCAAGTGCTAGAGTGAGTTAGGGTAGTCTTGGAAACTATCTGGGTAATTTTGAGCCAATGAAAAGATACATTCAAGGACTAAGATAATTTAAAACATAGAGGTAATTACATTTTTAAACCTCTCTTTCTGAAGTATCATATGCATAGAGAAAAGTGTGCATATCATAAGCATACAGAGCTCAGTGAATTCTCATAAACTGAGCAAACATGTCTGAGCACCACCCAGATCAAGAAACAAAACATTATTAACATCCCAGAAGTCTTTTCTGTTTTGTTCTAGTCACATGCAACCCTATCTCAAAGGTAGCAGTACTCTTTTAGTAACCATTTTGCCTACTTTGGTACTTTATATGAGTGGAATTAGATTGTAAAATGGCTTTTTAAAAAACTGGTTTCTTCCACTCAACATAATCACTGCAAGAATCATTCATATTGTTATTGGCAGTTGTAGTACATTCATTCTTATTGCTAAATGACATTCCATCATGTGAACAAACTACAATTTATTTATCCATTTTACTGTCAACAGGCATTTAGATAGCTTCCAAGTTTAGAGCAACTCAAATAATGCTGCTATGAGCATTGTAGTATATGTCCTATGGTGACTTCATTTGGGTTTATCCTTAAGAATGACATAGTTGGGTAACAGAGTATAAATTTATTCAGTACCAGTTTTTCAAAGTGGTTGTACTAGCATACATTCCAATAGCAGTTCTGGTTGCCCCAACACTTCATATTTTCCATCTTTTTTTCATTTTAGCCAATCTTTTAAGTATGTGGCAGTACCTTATTGGGGTTTTAATTTGCATTAATTGACTAAGTTGATTATCTACTCCTAGGTTCATTGGTCATTTGAATATTCTCATTTTGAAGGATATGGTCAATATTTTTTCCTGTTTTCTGATTGTCTTTTTCTTATTGATTTGCAAAAATGTGTTATTTATTCCAGATAGGAGTTTTTATCAGATATATGTATTATGCCTTCTTGTATTCTATGGCTTGCCTTAATACTCTCTTCAAGGTATATTCTCATTAAGACATGTTCTTGATTTTAATATAATTTGTCATTATTTTTCTAACTGGGCCTTTTAATTATAGAATCATTTGTTGCAAACATCATCCCTTTTCCCCACAGCACTGCAGTGCCACCTTTGTAATAAATCTGGTGACCTTGTTTATGTGTGTCTGTTTCTCAACATTCTATATTCTTCCATTGGTCAGTTTGTCTATCCTTGCACCTATACCACATGCTCAATTATTGCAGTTTTATAATAGGTTTTGACATCTGGTAATGTATAACCTCCTATTTTGTTTTTAATTTTCAAGATTATGTTGGCTATTCATGCATTTTCATGCAAATTTTAGAATCAGCTTGTCAATTTCCAAAAAACCCTGCTAGGATATTGATTTGGATTGGGTTGAATCTAATTATCAATTTGAAGAGAATTAACATTTTTGCAAAACAGTCTTCTAGTCTGTAAACAGTGTATATCATTCCATTTGTTAGAATTTTTAAAGATTTTCTCTGTGATGTTCTGTAGCTTCCAGCATTAGAGCTTCTTCTATTGAGCTTCCTTGGAACCATTGTTTTGAACTCAATATCTGATAGTTGACTTGCCTCTATTTCATTTAGCTCTCTTTCTGAGGATTCCTCCTTTCTCTTCAATTGGCGGGTATTTCTTTGTCTTCCCATCATTTATGAGACTCTTCTTCTTTGCTTCTGCTTCTTCAATTGATCTGTCTTGATTTCCTGACATTGTGTTTTGAACTTCTATGGTAGGAGACACCTATTTTTCCTTTCTGTATCTGCCTCTGATGATGTCAGATGCTGACCCAGTCTGACCTTAGGCAGCCTGTTCCAGACTTCCAGGAATCTACTGTCTGTGGCTGTCTCCTTTAGCTGTTAATCTCAATATTTTGAAATTTGTTGAAGTTTATGGTTTGTCATATGGTCATTTTGGTAAGTTTTGCTTGTACCATTAAGAAGCATAGGAATTCTACCACTGTTCCATGTGTCAGTTAAGTAAAGTCTCTTCACAGTGTTGTTCAGATATTTGCTAAATTTATTGATTTTATTTGGTTATTTATCAAGCTATTGAAAAAGACATTTTAATGTTTCCCACTTTTACTACAGTTCTATTTCATCTTTTAGTTCTGCTCATTTTTGCCATGTATTTTGAAGCTATGTTATCTTGTGTACACTGGTTAGAACAATGATATTTTCTTAATGGAAGAACTTCATTATCTCCATGAAATGTCCCTACATTTCTAGCTTCTTCCTCTTTAATATGTCTAGAACTTTTCCAATGTATACTGTATAGTAAATAAAAGAACCACAGAAATTTTACTAGAAATGATGTTAAACTCCTCTCCTCTGTTAGGCAGATAGAGTGAAGGACTGAACTGCCCAATCAAATCAGGGATTGAACTGGGTTAGGCTTATTTATAGCTCTGGTAAATCTCAGTCCATGTCTGGTTCAACCCTGTTCCTAGGACATACCTCCCCAAGATTTTCAACTGAGAGTCTAATTGGACTCCTCAGTATCGAATAGTTATGAGAGATTCAGATTTGTCCTCATAGGTTTTCAGCTTACTTCTTTAACTCTCCCATCCCTTAAAGTCCAAATTTTGGCAAGTATCTGGAAGGAGACACAGACTGTGTTTTGGAGGTTCCTCAAGCCTCCCGTGCTGTCACTCAGGAACCATATTAAATGTCCAGATCTCCATTGATTTCTCTGCTTCGTGCACCAGCCTCAGCAATTGCTAAGGTCAAGCCTGCGTTTCAGCCTCTAGCTCAGGCCAAAATCAGTAATTGCACCCAGGAACAAAGAGCTATAGATCTTTAGTATTAACTCACTACTCATATGCTTTATTTTCAGACCCATTCTCCTAGCCACTCTTTGTTCCCTAAACATGAGACTGAAGGAGATTTCACTTTGCCTTTCAGAAGAAGCATCAGTCTAGTTCTTTAACTCTCTGAGCAAACTCAAAATTCAGCAAATATCTTAGGATGAAAATCTCCAATTTGTCTCTTATATTAGTCAGAGTCCAGAGAAACAGAATGAAAAAGAGATAAATATCTGCAAGCTGGAGAAACAGGAAAGCCAGCAGTATAATTTAGTCTCTGATTCCTAAAGTCTGAGAACCAGGAGGCTAATATCCAAGGGCAGGAGAAGACGGATGAACTCGTTCACACAGAGAGAGGAATTTCACCCTTCCTTTGTTTTTCTGTTCTATTCAGGCCCCTAACAGATTAGATGGTGCCCAAACACACTGATGAGGGTGATTCAAATAGTAACTTCTTTTGAGCACACACATAAAATAATGTTTTAGCAGCTACCTGGGCATCTCTTAGCCCAACCACGTTGACACGTAAAATTAACCATCACTCATCCTAGTCCAGTGGAACCACTGAAAGCTCTACTGGTTTCTCTATCCTCCAATAGGCCTCTTCCTGGACAATCCCCAATCCTAGCCCACAACCAGAATCAGTGAATACTGCCTTTGGGATTGAAGAGTCCTAAAAGGTTCTCTTATTCTGGTCTTTTTGTATATCTATTTATGTTTGCTTCTACAGTTCTCTGATCCTTTAAAATGTGATTTATTTTTATCATTTATCCACCTGTGTCTACATGTTAGCAGCAGCAGCAATGCCCTACCATGAAGGACTACATCCTACTTGAAAATAGAAGTTAAAACATTACATCAAAAACTTGTAGCTGAGTATGTTGTACTATGCTCACCTGCAAGGCCAGGTTTCAAACCTGGTTGCTTGTTTGTTTCATACATTTTCAACATAAAATTGGGAATTCCTGCTACTGTCTTTCCTTGGTCTGAGCGAGCACCTCCTTTTAATGCCAGGTGATACACCCCACGGGGCATATTCACCATTTCTTGCTTCGTGAGCGATGTAAAAAATTCCTCCAAAGCTGAAAGAGATAAAAGGAGATCAAAAGCAGAGTATTACAGTATGCTAGAAGAGAAACATTCATTCTTAACTCACACATACACAGATGTGTGCACACAATACCAACAACAACAGCAGCAGCAACTTAGCCAATTTCAGGCCAAACTTCACAAAATAAAAAGAGAACTCTTGATTCTCATTCTCTTTTTAGTCTTCCCCAAGTCAGACCATGGCACCCAGTTGCTCAAACATAAAAACCTAGTCATTCTTAACTTCTCTCTTTCCCACAGTCCTTATATATACTCCATTAGCAAGTCCTTCTAGATCAACCTTCAAAACTATATCCCAGATCCACCAACTTTTCTCCATTTTTGATGTTACTTGCCCAATCATTATCTCTTCTCTTCCTCATCCTAATTTAAAAACAAGTTTGTTCATTTCTACTCCTCATGACCACCCCTACAAACCATCTTGCCCAATCATTATCTCTTCTCTTCCTCATCCTAATTTAAAAACAAGTTTGTTCATTTCTACTCCTCATGACCACCCCTACAAACCATCTTTTCTACCCAAGAGCCAGAATTTTATGTCATTCCCCTTCCTAACATCTTCCAAGGGTTTTTCACCATAGATAGAATAACATGAAAACTTCTGACAATGACCAAGGCTTCGTACGATTGAGTCCCTGACTCCCCCTCTGACCTCATCTTTAACCACCTGCCCTCCTTGCTAGCTATGTTAGAGGCACACTTCCATGTGGCCTTTTTTTCCATTCTTCAGTAACACAAAGTTCATAGGTAAGCCAGGGCCACAACACTTGCTATTTCTTTTACATGGAACACAACAGTCCCAGAATTCCATGTGACTGGCTCCTTTTTGTCATTTAGGTATTTTCAGAGAGGGCTTTTATCTTTCTGTAGCAATATCAGTATAGTTATTAAAACACAAAATATTAGCTTATTATTTCTTTGCTGTGGTCCTTCTAATTAATCCCAAAAGGCTTATTGCTTGACATTTTTACTTATTATAAGGTAACACAGAAACATGGGATCAGAAGACAATAGATACCCAAACAAAGTACTTGCCAAGCCTATACGTTCATACCCAAGTGTTATTTTCCTAAGGACCACTAGAGGCTGCCCAATGCAGAAACAAAGACATTAAAAGTAAACAAATCATATGGAAAACAAAAAAGGAAACTACTGCATGTGCCTCTTATTATGGGAACAAAAAGGCAAGGATACACCTAACAAAACTGGAATTTCATTCTTAATAGACCTAAAAGTCTCCTTTAAATGACCATAATTAATTAAAGGCAGTGAGTGTTCACTGGAGCATCTACTACGTGCCCAGTTCTGTCAGTCCTATATAGGAACTTCCTAGATGCAACCATGCTTCTCCGTTCAAAGCCCAGAGAACACTGTGTGGGATGCTTTCCATTTACCACCCCCGACCCCCAGGACTATCCTCCACTCTCTCAATCCGACTCTGTGCCTTGGAAGAACAACCGTTAACAACTGCATCATCAGGCTCCCTTGTTCTCTGGCTTCAACCAAAGCGAGCACTGGCAGGAGGCCAGAGAGTGCAAACACAGTGAGGTCAGGCATGTATTCCCCGATACTCACCTGCAGGTTTGCTACAGGTAGCCTGCATCACTCTTAGGAAGGTCTTGGCTTCCCGATTTATGACACCGATGTTCTCTGCCATTCTCCTAACTGCTGCCTCCTCTTACCTCTTCTAGCTAAGGGACATTAATGACTCTGGGAGGATTCACCATTGCTTGTGACGTCTTCCTTTAACCTTGACACCGTGAGTGTAAATAGTCCCTTTATTCAATTCTTAATGACTCCATCTGAATGCACCTTTCCTGTCAAGACTCTAATCAATATATCATCTAACTGAAATAGAAAAATAACAACCAACTGCAGGCCATATACCCAATACTTGCATTCACGTTTACCCATATGGCCACTTCAAGCCAGCTGAGGATGAGTATAGACTTTTCAGGATGTGGCTACAATCATTGTGAAGACACAGGCACTAAGGATGAGAGAGGATAATTTCATGCTTCCTGAGAAGGAATCCTTTTCCAGCAAAAGCTGATATATGTGAAGAAATAAGTCCACATCTGCAATAGACTAATCCAGGAATGTAAATTTGTCTACTTGTCAAGCTCCTCAGAGAACTAAGGATTTTCATAATAACTCCAGCCCTGAGAATAGTTTAAATGAGGATAAGATACCATGACTGTAACTGATATAGAAAAAAACCATCTTCCCCAGCCACTAAGCTAGCAAGCAGGATTGTTTTGCACTGTCATTGAGTCTTGCCCTAGTCTTTTCCTTACAGATGACCAGGTCAGAATTTGAAAAGAGTGAAAAATCTGTAGGTCACAGTGTTAGACATAAATTTTTAAAACAAACCTAAACATCTTTCAGGTGAGTGGATAAAGAAATGGTAGTACATCTTACAATGGAATACTACTCAGTAACAAAAAAGAACAAGTCACACAGACAAGTATTTGGGTGGATTCAAAACGGTCCTGAGTGAAAACCAAAAAAAGTGCTAATCCTAAAAGTTTAGATACTGTATTAAAAAACCTGATGAAATCCGAATGCTTCTATAGTTAATAATATTGTACCAATGTGAAATTCCTGGTTTTAATAATGAACTATGGGTACATGAGATGTTATCAATCAGGAGCAGCTTAGGCTTAGGTGAAAGTACACAGAAACTCTCTAAACTATTTTTGCGACTTCTTGTAAGTCTAAAGTTATTTCAATATTTTAAAAAAATGAAATCAATACCACTAACACCCCTATTTAAAATAATGCAAATTAATGAATTTACTTTGCAGCTGCATTTGTGTTTACTTGAAAGGAAATAAGAGGAGAAAAAGGCCAGGACACACATTCAGTGGAATCTGGTTTTCTGTCTAATATGTGTCATCCACGCTGGACCTTTTAGAGTATACATTCCTAAGACTGGTCCTTTTTCCTGGTTCTGTTCTGAGTAATCCCAGGGAAAGTGAGGCACAGAAAAATGAAGAACTTTGTCCATTAGAACCTGACTCTAATTATTGAACTTTCTCAAACAGTTACAATTGCTGACCTCAAATCCTCCCCTTTTTTCTCAAGGAAAGGTGCTAATAACCATCATGGACAAACCATGTAGAGGAGCGACTTCATGGCCAGCACAGCACCGCGCAGACAGGGAGGACACAAACAACAGCATGCCCTGGCAACAAACACCTTTCCCTTCTCTCATACCATAAGCCCAGGTGGTGAGGGATCCATGTAAGGGGAAACATCAACATTTAGAAAGCTCAAGAGGACTTTTAACTCTAAGACTATTTTAGGAAACAAGAAGAGCTTTGGTAACTGATGGCTTTTTCCTTCTTCAACTCACTATTAACTGCAGGAAAGTCTTAGACTCTGAAGAACCCTGAGGTAGGAAATGGGGAAGAACAGAAAAGAGGAACAGGAAACGAGCCTTTATTGATTGCTTGTTCAGGACATCGGGAGAAAAGAAAAGGCGAGTCTTTGTCTAAGTTGTACCATTCAATCTTCTCTAATGAAAGGAGTTGGGGATTTGGTACAGGAGCTTGGTCTAGAAATAAGTAATACATATTTGGCTGAATCCCTCAGGAATCTCTATGTGAGATGAAACCAAGGAAAAAAATCTTCCAACATTACAGATAGTGAAATTATGATTGTGAAGGTATGATGACATTTCTTGGGTTTATTGAACTTAACTTCTGAAGTTAAACTTTTACATCCATGAACATTCAAGCTAGAATTGGGGCAGGACAGGTAATAGATGCATGTTCAGCACAATGCTGGCTAATACTGAATTAGAATAATTAGATATAATTAGAATAATTTTTAAATGCCATGGTTCTGTAAAATTTATGTTGAAACTAAATGACCATACAATTTGATCTATTTTTTAAAGGCATTAATTTGTAGTTCTTGAATATTGATACCATCTTTGGAGTAGTTCCAAAGAAAGAATAAATTTATAATTATGAAACTAGCCAGTAAATCTTAGAAGATTCTAATGATCTTTTCACTTACCTTGTATCATAATAAACCATTATTATGTTCAATTTTATTCAAGTCTAACATATCCAGAATGTCTTGAACACTGTACTACCTCAAAGAGTCCTATAGAACAGATTGATGCATTTGGCATTTCAGATAGAAAATATGTATGTAAGGTTAAAGTAAGCTATTAATATGTATGCATTACAAAAGAACACAATCAGATAGGTAAAAATTACTGAAAACTGCTAGCTTCCCTGCCACTAAATAAGTAAGTGTCACCTGGTAAAACCAAAGGTGAGGTGAATGACACCAGTTTGAGATAGCACGAGCCAGGAACTGAAAGATCCACATCCTTTTCGTCACCCTCGTCATCTTCTTCTTCATCTTCATCTAGCTCATCAGGAATATGGATTTCTGGTCTTATCTGAAATGACAGAGAAGACAATACTAAAACATTATGTAAAATCTTTTCTTTGTACTCTTTATGTCAAGATTTAAAAATTAAGTTAGACTTATTGCTCTATAATGTCAAAAGACCATTAAAATGAACTTCGAAAACCTATTCATTTTCAGACTAACTAAATGTCAATCTCTAATCATCTTATTAGATACAATCCCAGATCCATGTAAAGAACTAATGATAATACATAGTAAGAAAATCACCATAAACCAACAAAAGCAATGATTATTAGAGAAAATGAATAAAATCTTACACTGACAGTCAAATGCAAACACTGACACATTCAACACATTGAACATCTATGTTTTATAATTAAATATTTGCCTAGTCTGAATATATTTTTTTTAATTTGTAATTCTATCCATATCTCCATGACAAAATTAAAATCTTCCAATGAAATGTATAGTAGAGATCAGGAAAAGACAGAGTGCTTTAGCTGACTTTGTTTTAGACGTGGCAGTTTGTTGCTATAGAATATAAAAACACTAAAATCTGTACTTGGTAGCTATACTTTATTGTAGATGATTTGCAGTTTGAAGATTTTGTAGCTGCTCTGTGATTACTTAGGGTTGTTTGAACCCAAAATAAAAAAATGTAAAAAGATTACCACTATTGTAATTTCCACAAGATATAACTGTCAAGCAATTAATTAAATTTTTAATACTTTCAATGACACACTATCATGGTGCCCACATGGAGATAATTAAGCATTAGGGAAGGAAATCCAAATATATAAAAGTGGATGCTATAACCATAAAGTGCCAGAACCCAGTCATTACCATTAGCCTGTCTCCTGGAGTTATTTTTAGAAATAATTAACAATTCCTGCAGACTGCCTTCTTCATAGGTCCCCAAAGCACTGTTCCATTTAGGAACTGCACTAAGTCAGGGTTCTTGCAGGGGGATTTTAAAAATAAGAGGAAATGCTTCTCTTAAGTATCATAATCTCAACTCCAATGAAGCCTTTCAACCATAACCAGTGTTCTCATCAACAGTTAAAGAGTGTAAGGAACCTGACTACCCGACAACTTTCAAAGACAAGATTTAATCCTGATTCAATATTGAGTGCTTAATTCTCAGAAAACTGAGCCAGCTATAATTACAGAGATAACAGTAATCCATGCTTCACATAGGACATTTGTTGATAGTTGTTGATATTAATGCATACCAGAGACAGACAGCCTGGCATGTTTGCAAACCTCTTGGTTCTGACAAGTTGAGTTTTCCAAGTGTCTATTGTCTACACACATATTTGGAAGTTGCCAGAGTTCGTATCATGAGGAATTATCTTAGAGACTCTAACCAGTTCTAGTTGCCTAAGAAGTTCCCAAGAAAGAAGTTGGTCTGGGTCCATTTGCCTTACTTCCTGACTTTTTAGAGATCCATAGTACACATTTGAAAAATAATATTTGAACAGCATACTGGGGAAACAGACAATGCTTACAGCTAGAGGCTACATCAGTAACACCAGTTACCACACCAGTCCACCAAAGCACTGGGAAGCTCTGCTATACATCACATTCAAGTGATAGGAGACTTGGGGAGGTGAAGGGCATAGGTAAACACTTAAGCTAATATGAAAATTCAGAGGAATGGTGAGGATGTGGAGAACTCGGAACCCTCATACACTGCTCGTAGGAATGTAAAATGGCGGAGCATTTTACAAACCTTTGGAAAACAGGTTGGCAGTTTCTTAAAATATTAAACACAGTTATCATGTGCGTCAGCAATTCCACTGCTAGGTATATAACCATGAAAAGTGAAAATGTATGATCATACAAGGACTTGCACATGAATGTTCATGAATGTGAATGCAGTATTCATCATAGCTATCAAAAACTAGAGGCCACTCAAATGCCCATGAACTGATGAAAACAAACAAAATGTGGCATATCTATACCAGGGAATATTATTCGGTCATAAAAAAAAAATATGAAGTACAGATACATGCTACTCAGAAATGAACCTTGAAAATATGCTTTGAAGAAAGCCAGTCATAAAAGACCCCATACTATATGATTTCATTATAGAAAAGGTTCAGGGCAGGCAAATTTAGAGACAGAAAGTAGATTAATGGTTGCTTAGGGCTTGGAAAGGGGTAATGGGAATTGACTGATAATAAGATGTTCTAAAATTAGACTGTGGTTGCTCTGTGATTAGTTGCATAATTCTTTGAATAAACGAAAACCACTGAATTGTATGCTTTAAGTGGGTGAATTGAATGGAATGTGAATCATGTCTCAATTAATGTTTAAAAGGAAGGAAGGCAGTAGGGGGAAGGGAGGGAGAGAAGGTAGAAGGGAGAGAAGATAGAAGGAAGAAAGGCTATAAGAAACAGGCAAAGAGGAAATGGGAGAAGGGAGAGGGAGGTGTTAGCGGCACAAGAGGAAGAATAAGAAACAGAAGCAGGAACCACCATCACTTTCAGTGGAACCTTAACTGGTGTATGAACTACATCAAATGATCAAATGCTTCTAATTCCAGAATTACTTACTATAAAAAGAATACAATCATTTTTGCACAGATTTTAGCCTATCCAGTCTTTCTGCTCCATCAACCTAAATTAGTTAAATAAGTCACAGCAACCAGGCCATCAATATTTCTGAGAGTCACTAAAGAACAACCTACTAGGCTGGGGATTAAAAAAAAATGATCTGCTCATCCATCTTAAGCTGCCTAAATTCATATTCACATAACTGAATGTCTATATTAATTTATCTGCTATACAGTAGATAGCATATGTCTGCATCTTACAAAGTATATATTTAACAAGGAAACTGCAGATACACTATAATTTAAGTATAGATGACATACTCTGCCTACTTATAATGCTATAATGACTCCTTTATTTGGTTTCCTCAAATGTGAGTTGATTCTCCTGAACAAATTAGCACTTATTGTTAGAACTTGTTTCCATTACATTTCTGTCTTTTGCTGCTCATCCCTTAAAGAGCTATTTATTCCAGCTTCCCTATGTGAGCTCCAGCCTTTTCCCTTGGCTTGTGTGCAACAACTGAATACAATCAATGTGAGTACAACTAAGGAAAATTGAAAGATATCAAATGAAAAAAATATGTTAAAATTATATAATTTGGGCAATTATATTACATTAGCTGCTAAAACACCCAGGAAAACTGCATGTATATTTAAAACATAAACACACACGCATGTACACACACAGCTATGACCTTCCAATTATAGCTAAGCTTTATGGGAGAAACTTTAATGGAGAGCCAAATATAAAATGATAAATTACTTTTAAAATCTGCTTCAAATTGAATATTGGAAAATTTATCCTACAAAATGCCTTACTATAGGTTCTGAGCTAGATAACCTTTCAACTACCTTTGTCTGTGCATAACCTATAAAAATCCAGGAGTTTGCACATAAACAGAGGGTTTTATTTGGAACACGTCAAGTGTCTGCATAAATTCATTTAAAAAGAGAAACAGCTTCTGATGAATGCAGTGACATTCACTTAAATCAAAGCCTAACAGGTTACACCATATTAATACCAGGCCAGCACGAATGAGTTCTTTTATATTATATTCACATCTAAAATTAACTCCAGAAATCAACAAAACAGTTTATTTTAAGATATAATAAAAGGCTTATTTTTAGAATAGACCTTTTATAATAAAAAGGTTTAATTTTTAAATAGCTAAATATTTTTTAATGAACTCAAGTCAGAGAGAAGAGTCAATCTTCTAGTTAAATGTTTATCCATAACTGATTATTTTTATCATGAAAACAATTCTCTATAGTTTTTTTTTCTGTTTGGTTGGTTGGCTGTTTTGGGGGGTATTGATTTTTTGTTTTTTGCACAAAAGAAGGCAGAAGAGAAGGATAAATAACTAAAAACAGAACAAAGAAATGCACACTAAAAGGGAGAAAGCATTCATGTCTGTTTTGTAACATTAGAATCAACACATCCTCAATGAACCCCCAAATTTTTCTGACCAACTATAGATTTGCAAGTTTCAAGTAATTAACAACATTTTTACAAACCAACAAAACACATGGATTCATTCAACATTCTCAGCTCATAAGATGGCCTGGTACTTAGTATATGTCCAATAAATAATGATTAATCCAATGCAAGTGTTAAGTGTCTATCACCATTAATCTCACAGAACTTCCTAAACACAAACCAATGACAAGAAAGATGAGTTAATGAATTTTTATCTTTAAGTCAAATTGTATCTCATCCTGCTCTATTATCCGACATTTCCCATCTTGCCTTAATCAGGGGTGTCCAACCCATAGCCCAACATTGCTGTGAATATGGCCCAACACAAAATTGTAAATTTACTTAAAACATTATGAGATTTTTTTTGTGATTACATGTCTTAATGTATTTAATGTGTGGCCAAAGACAACTTTTCTTCCAGTGTGGTGCAGAAACACCAAAAGGTTAGACACCCCAGCTACATGTAATGCCTTATTCAATCCTCAATTTTTTTTCTGATGTCAGCCACTCCTCTAATATCTTTTGCTCCACCAGGCTGTTAGCTTTCAACAAGTTCACAGCTTTAAATTAATGCATCAATCAACAATAAATGTTTTTTAGTAAATTTAAAGAAAGGTAACGCTTATAATTTGTGGATTATAATTGTGGAATTATAATCCACAAATGTAGCCATGTTAAGAAGGGTGCATTATATCTTTTTAAAAAATTTCTTCTTCAAATTTATACTGTGCTCATTTAGAAGATTATTTCACAAGTTTCCACATATAGAAAAGAGAAGATGGACATACTTTCACTGGAAAGCTGTACCGGTAACCTTCAGTTTTGTGAATAAATTAAATTGCCCTTAATGCAGAGTGAGTAGTCTCTGACAGCAAAGAATTTAAGTTTTGATATTATAGAAGTTCCTACCTGGCAGGAACTTCTAAAACAATTGCAAATAAGCTTTTGTGGAAAAGGAGCCTGTTTCACATCACTGTCATCATCTTCAAAACAGAGGTGGGAAGCAGACTTGGTTGACTCCTTAGCCTTTGAAGAGGGACTTGTTTGGGATATGAATATGTTGATGGCTTTCTGGACTTTCACTCCTTAGGTATTCAAATAACCAAACGAAAAATCATTAATCAATAAAAAGAAGAAGAATGCATGGTGCAGCCTTGGACGCAATGATTCTCCATAAGGAGGTAGGTCCTCTAGATGAGAAGCTGGGCATCAGAGATAGATACTTTTACACCACTTAGGCCTGTTCATCTTGATCCCAGTTGAGAATATCCACAATAGTGAATCACTATTCATATCCCAGGAGGGGGTTAGGGCTGAAGAAAGGTTGAAAAGCATGGCTAATAAACCTTAGAGATTTCCTTTACAGCTCTTCGCATGCTGGTAGTGAAAACCCAAACATACATAGAAACCCCAACTCTACGTACATCACTACCCTTTAAGTTAGAAGGTATAAAGAGCTATTTATGGCTCTGACGTATCAAACAAGGAGAGTTAGATTAAGAAAGTACATAATATATGACTGAGCATAGCTCTTATTTGAGTATAAGTGCTAGCAACCATAATCAGAAACTGGATATAACCCTAAAGTAGGAAAAAACAAAACATAACAACATACCAATTTAAAGAGGTAGAAGTGAAATAGTCAAGTGAACGTGAAGGTTGTTTAATAACAGCTATTTATTCCAGCTGGAATATTACAAGAATAATCACTAAAAATAAAAGTAATTATGCTGTGATATAAATTAGCAATTGCTTATTAAAAATAGTAAGATGCTTCAGCTATTGTAGGAATTTGCACATCAAATTTACATGTAGCTCCTCCCTCCCTTCCTCTCTCCCTCCCTCCCTCCCTCCCAGAAACTATGGGTATTGTGCCCTGGCCATGTGCCTGGGTTGGAATATTATCCCATAACCAGAGAGTTGTGGGTTCGACTCCCTGTCTGGATTGATTGGGAGGCAACCAATCAATGTTTCTCTTTGATATTTCTCTCTCTCCCTTCCTCTTTGTCTAAAAAGCAATGAAAAAATGTCTTCAGGTGAGGATTAAAAAAACACTTTTTTAAAAAGCAGTAGCTATGGGTATTGTTAGTCACAATAATATGGTCTGAAGTCCCACCTTTTTTAATTTCATGAATCATAAAACACTTTTTCTTAAGGCTTCCTATTTGTGATAACTGCATGACAAGGCAGCCAATCTATCTTGAGAGTCTGCAATAACATGGGAAATCCTGCCTTATTTAGGACTTGGTTTTATAAGAGCCTATCCTTCAGTGCCCCTTATATGGAGGTTCCTATTCAATTCAATAGACAGAAGTTTGCCTGGTTCTCACTGGCATCTAATCTCCACATAAGCTCAATCTAGACGAGAAAACAAAGCCATTTTAATGCCTGAGGATCCCAAGAAATTCACACCAAAATTTCTTGCCTTTTGGCCTCCAGGACAGATTCTGGATCATGTTATACATAACTTCTAATACAATGTCTGCCTTTCACTCTAAAGGTATTTGTGCATTTGAATGCCTTTGAATTAGTAGTACACCTAAATGTGAACTCGGACTCCAGACAAAACCTAATAATTTAAACATGGTTATATTAAGTAAATACTAGAAAAGGTTGCATATTTTTAGTCTAGTCTAAATACTAAGATAATGTCACATTATGTGTTAATTCTTAAAAGACAGTAATACTTTCTTCATTCAGTTCTCTGGTGCTCACCTACACATCACTTAAAACTAAACTGATAAACAGTAGATTTTTTACACATGGCCTCTCTATTCTATACTACAAATAGAGATCTTTGACTGCACAAGTGGTAAAAATCTTAAGTCAGTGTAGGCCATGCTTAGATTTGAAGTCCGAGACGGCACACTAGCTTGGCACAGTGGTTCCTACAGCGGCGCAGGCCTTGTGGAATAAGCCACAGGCTCGGATGTGCAGTCGTATACCCTGTCACCTTAAGGAGGCTTCATTAGCACCATAGGTGTCTTCCATCTGCTTCAAAGAAATTTAAATTCATTGTCTATGATTCTAAGGTCATTACGGATTATGCAGATAATGAATCTAAATTCATATCTTTTATAGATGACTATCTGGGGTTATACATACATCCATCAGGTATAAATATTCTAAGGGGGCAGGGGGGAGGGGAGGGAGATACAAATAAAGTTGTAAAACTGAGCAGTAAAGAGTTACCAGTGAAAAAAGCAGTGAAAAAAAGGCCTACCTGTTCAGGCAGATGAAGAATGGTGTGCTCTCCAGTGCTAAAGTGTGACAGAGATTTATATGCAGCATTAGCTACAACTGGATCCTAAACAGTAAAACAAATTTTTAAAAATCATATATTAAACACCAACTCCAGAGGAAGCCATTTGGAAACGGTATTCACTTGCTTTATCTGTCCCAATTGAAAATAGAAAACAGTACTGGGAAGAGAAATCAGAAGCACTGACTTTTTATTCTACTTTGGATGTTAAACATAAAGTAACTCATAATCATCCAGGCCTCCTTGAGGTAGCATAGCCTAGTCAAAATTGTGTGAGGCTTAAAGTCTGATAGGCCTGGAAGTGGATTCTGATGCCCCAGCTACTAACAGGGAAAATTATCCTTTAGGAAACTAAGCTCTTTCGCTCATGAGTCAGGTATAATATCACCCAGGTAGAACTTCTCTATGCTTCTTAATTAGAAACAACATCTATAAAATGGACGGGCCTTTTTCCTTGTTTGATATGCTTGCTGGTGGGGGAGAGACAAAGCTGGAAAAGGGAAGGACCATTAAAAATATAAGACAACGGCAACAGTTTCTCTTCAGACAAACGTCAGCTTCACAAAGTAATAAGTGTACTTCATGGTAAAAACTGTTAATGAGAGTAAACTGAGAATAATTTTTAAAGTGGAAACTTATGAATAGTCACAATTCTCTTAAAATCAGGAAGCGATCATTTCAAGGGAATTAATATTCTCTATTCTAGGAATCGGAGAGCTCTTTCCCAGGTTGGTTCTGTTTCACTGACACCCCTTGTGACAGTACCGTGTTTTGGGTGTGGGTCCAGAGGAAGCTGAGGACTTGAACTTTAAAATTCTGAAAAACAACAAACATCAGAATAAAATTTTAAGGCAAAAATAAAACCAAGAAAAAACGATCTACATTAGCAAATAGTAGAAATTAAATCACTTTAAAATTTATACCACTAGTAATTGACTTAACCTGTATTTAACCATCATTCATAAAATGAAAATACTCAGAATCAGTCTCATCACTTAAATATACAAATATTTAAAACACAATGAGGTTTTAAAGTTATTAAAGTTAGAAACCTAACCATTTCTTACCGATCTCTCAAGTCCTCGTATAAATGTCGCACATCCCTCTTTCATGCCACTGTTCCTGATCCCCTACCCAGGAGAGAACTCTCCTCTCCAAGCAGTCACATGCCACATGGCACACCTCAGCATCTTGTGTGTAATTAACTCCCTGCTAGACTGCAGATGCCTCTGGGCAATGACTGTCATTTTCATTAAAAGGCCTAGACCATAAAGCCCAGAACAGAAAGAACATAAAGCCCAGTTTCTCAAATGATAATTAATAAATAATTATGCATAAAATTGCCTTCCAACTTCTAAATTCTTGTCCATCTATTTATATAAGATTCTTCTATACCTACTTGCCTTTCCATATGCTATTCTCCAAATTTCAGGGGGAAGCAACATTTCATTAATTCTTCAAGATCCTAGTCTAATAGCACCAATTAAATAAGGTTTCCTTAGATTTCTCCTAAGAATGCTGCTCACTTCCACCACTACACTCTCAAAACCCTCAGATAAACTGTACTCATCAAATGTTATAATTATTATTGCTTATGTCTACCTTCTTTACCAATCTTTGAGCTTTTGGAAAGCAGAGACTGACATCATGGTATAATAGAAAAACATAGCCTACAGACCTAGAAAGTCCTGGGTTTAGACACCAGCTTTCACTTAGAAACAATCATGTTGGCCAAGTTATTTGTTGGGCACATAGCATTCAGTAAATATTTGTTTAATGAATGAATGGACCTTGTAAAAATATTCCTTAGCTATAAAATTAAAAATAATACCTTCCTATCAGATATTAGAACTAATTGGTATAAAGTAACTAGAATAGTGGTGGAAATATATAATAGGTACTTTAAAATTTTTTTAAATTTGTAAATATGTTTTTTGAATTTAGAGAGAGAGGAAGGGAGAGAGGGGGAAAGGGGGGAAAGGGGAGAAAGGAGGAAGGTGGGGAAGAGAGAGAGAGACACAAAGAACGAACATGGATGTGAGAGAGAAACATCAGTTCCTTGCTTCCTATTCACACCCCAACTGCAGATCCAACCTGCAGCTAGGTATGTGCTCTGACCAGGAATCGATCTTCCAACCTTTTGATGTATGGGATGATGCTCCAACCAACGGAGCCATACCAGACAAAGCTGAGTACCAATATAATTGGTACTTTAAAACAGTATCAATTATTATTTATTAGTATCTCTAAGGTCTAGTATAATTTTAATAAATATATTCTAAGTCAATGGATAAATGTACCAGCATTTTGTAAAGCAATTCAGAAAATACGCTAATAGAAACCTGGACTCTAAGGTCACTGTAATCAAAACAGTCTGGTACTGGCACAACAACAGACACATAGATCAGTGGAACAGAATAGAAAGTGCAGAAATAAACTCATGTCTCTATTGCCAATTAATATTTGACAAAGGGGGCAGAAGCATAAGTTGGAGTAAAAATAGCCTCTTCAACAAATGGTGTTGGGAGAGCTAGACGGCTACATGCAAAAAACTGAAATTTGACCATCAACTGACAACATACACAAAAATAAACTCAAAATGGATAAAAGACTTAAATATAAGTCTCAACACCACAAACATCCTAGAGGAGAACACAGGCAAGAAACTCTCAGATATACCACGCAGCAATATTTTCACTGATATGTCCCCTAAAGCAAGGGACATAAAGGAAAGAATAAACAAGTAAGACCTCATCAAAATAAGAAGCTTCTGCACGGCAAAAGAAAACATCAGCAAAATGAAAAGGGAGCCAACCGTATGGGAAAACAGATTTGCCAATGATACAACAGATAGGGGCTTGATCTCCAAAATATATAAAAAACTCTCATGACTCCACTCCAAAAAGACAAACAATCCAATTAAAAAATGGGCAAAGGACCTGGACAGACAGTTCTCCAAGGAGGACATACACAGGGCCCAGAGACATATGAAAGGATGCTCAGCATCTCTAGCCGTCAGAGAAATGCAAATTAAAACCACAATGAGATACCACTTCACACCAGTCAGAATAGCCATCATAAACAAATCAATAAACAACAAGTGTTGACTAGGCTATGGAGAAAAGGGAACCCTAGTACATTGTTGGTGGGAATGCAGACTGGTGCAGCCACTGTGGAAAAGAATTTGGAATTTCCTCAAAAAGCTAAAAATGGAACTGTCTTTTGACCCAGCGATTCCACTGCTGGGATTATACCTTAAGAACTCCAAAACACCAATTAAAAAGAACCTATGCATCTCAATGTTCATAGCAGCACAATTTATAATAGCCAAGTGCTGGAAGCAACCTAAGTGCCCATCAGTAAATGAGTGGATCAAAAAACTATGGTACATTTGCACAATGGAATACTATGCAGCAGAAAAAAAGGAGCTACTATCCTTCGTGACAGCATGGATGGAACTGGAGAGCATTATGCTAAGTGAAATAAGCCAGGGGGTGAAAGACAAATACCATATGATTTCACCTTTAAGTGGAACCTAATCAACAAAACAAACAAGCAAGGAAAATATAACCGGCCACATTGAAAGAAAAAAGAAACCAACAGAATCAAGAGGGAAGGGGGGAGGGGAAAGGGAAAGGAAGGGTCAAGTCAAGGAACATGTGTGGAGGACCCATGCACAAAGCTGAAGGGGGAAAGGATTGAGGGAGGGAGGTGGGGGAGGGAGGCAGGGGAAAGTGGTGCCGGAAAGATGGAGGCAAATGTATTTGAACAATAAAAAAGTAAAAAATAAAAATGTAAAAAAAAAAAAACAAAACAAAACATGGGCTCTATTTTCAACAAGCTTTTAATGGGGTAAATAATATACGTATGTATATACTTGCAGTATAAAATAGAAATAAACATTCTTAAAACAGTATAGATGAAGAAGTTTTGGAGAAGTAGACTCTTGATTGCAAAAAAATTCTCAATGAATGGAATGAGTTAAATCAATTCTTTATGTCCTGATATAGATTTTAAAATTATAGATGAAAAAGAAAGTGATTCTTGGCACAAAGAACAACATTAACAAGGAAAAGAAACAGAGAACTTTAGAGACAGATAAGGAAATCCTAAGTGGCTCAGTTTTCCTAGAGTTTAGGAGATAGACAAGAGAGGCTAGATTCTAAAAGGCTTTATGGATTAGGTATGAAGAGGATGGGCTTCATTTCAGGTAAACACAAGGCACTGAGGTAACCAGGGATAGCAATGACCAATGAAATGCTTTGGGAACATTATTTTTTTTTTCAAGTCTGGCTTAAATCCAAACAAACTCTAAGCAGTTAAGAGAAAACAAATTATTTAAACATACACAGGGAAGGAGGGATGAGGGGAGGGGTGATGGGAAATGAGATGGGAAAGAGAGGAACAGAGACAGATGAAGATAGGTCTCCCTTTACATTTCTTTACATCTGCTTCCATGTGGACCATGGTCACTGAGTGATCACCCTTCCTGGGAGGAAACTGATGGATGAAATGAAAAACAGAGGAACCTTAATATGAATACAAACATGAAGGTAAGCCAAATAAAATGTCAGTGGGAAAGAATGTAAAATTTGAAGAAGAATAAAACCCCATCTAATCCAAAAGACAATTTACAGCCATTGGTTAAGTAAACATAAGAAACCCACACACAAATCACTTCATAAATTAACTGATAATAAAATCTGAATAACTCAAAGTACAAGCAAAATAAAGGTATATAAATTCAGTCCTTGAAAACAGAAAATAAATATACACAACTTGCCCTTACTTTGATTTTTAGTCTTAGCTCCTTTTCAGTAGCCTGGCAGCCTTTCTAACTACATAAAGTCTGGTATGTACCAGTGAATAGTAGCCATAAAAAAAGGTTGTTTGTCAGCTATGTACTCTAGGAGTCCCAAACTGATTCTTTCTTTAATACTGTAAAACAAAAGTTGAGATGTGAGAATAAACTCACAATATCCTGTATTGGTTTCAATCATGCATTCAACAACTGCTTACTGAGCATATATTATGTGCCAGTCACTGCGCTAGCTGCTGCATACTCAGTAAGAACAAATTTGATTTTATTCATGGTGGGTATTTAGAAAGACAGGAAATATTATCCTATAATTCTATCTTATCATGTGATCTAAAACATGGAAGGTATTATTATTGGAATACGATGGGAGGACAGTTTATCAAAGTTTGTGAATCAAACTACAAGTCCACCAAGACTTGCAGTGAAAATCATTTGCTGCTCTTTGAGGAAAAGGAAAAAAGCTGCACATGGAAGGGTGTATGGCTATAAAAGAAGCAGCATAAGTAAATTCACCACCCTCTCTATTTCACTCAAAGAAGAGTTAATGAAGAAAATGTTACACAGGAATCTATGAATCTTATAGTGAAGCATCTTTCACCAAGTATTTCAATTCATTACAATGACAAACTCAGGGTCATTCATAAAACTGTTTTCCTCTTCTAAGATGGAGTGGTATATAACAATCCTCATTGAAGAGTATAGATGAAGAAGACAGATGCATATGGAAAATGGGAACTAACATGCAAAAGTCAAATCTCTGTGACAAAGCTAGGAACAAAATGACAATACATGACAATGCGAGAATCTGTCCTGCTTTTATTAAAGTCTTTGTACATTTTTTTAGAACTTAAAACACCAACAAAATGAATTTAAACTGTTGGCCTGATGAATTCTATTATTTTAGAAACACTATTTTTAATATATTGACTTTTTCAAATCTTGACTGCACTCTAATAATAAAAACTTGGTATCCTTTATGCAAATAAGTCTTAAAGAAACAGAATTGGTAAGAGTAGATATCCTCTGACTCCTAAAAGTCCATAAAGATAACAAAATATTCTCAGAATAAAAAGTGCTAAATGATTTTTGGCAAGGAATTATAAATATTTTTTTTCCAAAAGTTATTATAAAACATGTCTTTCCAATGTAAAAACAGAGAATTGATTGAGCTCCAAATGCATACCTCATATTCAGCTGTATTGACTGTTAAGGAAGGAACCAGAGAAAACAGTTCACTGAGGGTCTTCAAAATGAGCGGTCTCGTGTCACAGCTCAGCTTCGGGGAGAGAGCATTCCAAGTGGAGCGAATGCAAACGACCTGCGAAGCAAATGAAAATCCCAAATCCTATGAAGCCATTAGTAAGGAATACTTTTTAAAAAATGTTTTATTTTTAAATTACAGTTGGCATTCAATACTATTTTAATTTCAATGTTTAGAGCATAGTGCTTAGATATTTATGTAACTTAGAGGTGATTCCCCAGTAAGTTTAGTGCCCACCTGGCACCATATACAATTATCACAATGTTATTGACTATACCCTCTGTGCTGTACTTTACATCCCCATGAAAAGGGCACTATCTTTTATTATAAGAAAACTTAAGAAAAGAACAGAACATTCATATTGTTAAGATTTGGTAATATATTTACCTCAAAAGAAATTATTTAAACGACTGAAGAAGACCCAGCCTGCCTCATACAATTGCTTTCTTACTACCTTGGTTAACCGGGGCCGCGGGGGGGAGGCCATGGAGAGGGCGATCTATTTTTCTCTCACATGCATGAACACACATGAAATTAAATTCCAGATTAGCAACATTCATTATTAAAGACCCAGTCTCTGAAGCAAAGAAGAGTAAGATAATGCTAGGACATTTCTAAAGCCAGGTATCCAGAGTTCTTGCAGTTTTTCAGCCCTGCTGAAACTATGACACTACTCAAAAAATTAGGATGTTTATATACATTTATATATATATATACACACACACACACACACATACACACACACACATACATACATATAAATTGAACATTCTCAGATCACCTTACATGTATATAAAGAAGGTAGGAGGATGCTTATATTCTTAAAAATAATAATTTAAGACTGTTTTAAAAGTCATCTCAGATTTTTCAAGAGGTTTTTAAGTGATAAAATAAAAACTAAAGCCCAGTCAAAATGTTTAAGCTCAATTTCCTTAAGCCAAGTGTTCTTAGTTCATTTTAATATCTGGCATTATGGATATTCAAATGTCTTAAGTTCAATTCCAATAGATATTTCATTAAAATTTTATAACTCAGACAGGAACAGTGCAAACACAGATCAATTAGATAGAGTTTAACAAGGATTAATCTTTCTAAAATACTCCAATCTCTTCTCTTAGGCTTGAATTAACACACACAATTTATCTCCATTTATACACATAAATTATTTAGTAAAGCTACAGGAGGTAGTCAGTGAAAAGATGTCAAAGATAAATGAATAATATATACTTAAGGACACAGATTAAGGAGAGGCTCAAAGGAGAGGACAGAAGAAAGTATCTTAGAAAACTTGGATTTAGTGCTGTTGCTCTTATTTTCTACTTTCCATGAAACAGTAGAAAAATGTTCTTTGACTTGGGATCCAGTACAAATCTGGATTCCAATAACATTTACAAAACAAAGGCAGTATTATGTGCCAGGCATGACAGCAGGCACATTTATACAAAGAAGTAGCTCTAATATTACAAATCATCAGTATTTGAAATTTAAAGAAAATTCCTTAAATACTTTCTATTCAACATTGAGTGTGCACCCAGAGTAGTTAGTATACCGTCCTAAGAGAAACAAAAAAGTATAAAATATAACTTAACCCTTCAAAGAACTTAGCACCTCCTGAAAAAAAGAGAAGTGTATGTAAGTCTAAATTATCAAAAAACAGAAGTTATAAGATTTTGAACAGTGTTCAACAGAAAGTATTTTCAAGATGAATCTAGGGAAGAAAGGTAACAGTAGGTAGGAGTCATCACAGAGGGTATTAAGAGGCAGTTAGTCTTTTCATTTTTTAAATATTGTTTTAAATCCTCACCTGAGGATGTTTATTGTCTTTTTTGGGGGCAGAAGGGAAGAAAGAGAAAAACATCAATCAGAATGAGAAACACTGAAGTGAGAGAGAAACATCCATTGGTGCCTCCCATACATGCCCAGATTGCAACCTAAGCATGTGCCTTGCCTGACTGGGAATCAAACCTGCAACATTTTGATGTGCAGATGACACTTCAACCAACTAACCACCTGGCCAGGGCAAGAGGCAGTTAATCTTGAGATGGGACTTGAAGAAAGAACGAACAGAGATGAGCAGACAATCTACCAGGAAATGGAAAACTTAAGTCAAAACACACAAAAAAGAGCATGTCGTAGGCACAAAAAGCATGAGTACCAGCAAGGAAAGCCTCATGGGTCAGAGATTATCTGGAATACCAAAGCAGTTTGTTCCAGAAACAAAAAGAAAAGGGAACCCTAGCTGGTGTGGCTCAGTGGATTGAGCGCTGGCCTGAGAACCAAAGGGTTGCCAGTTTGATTCCCAGTCAGGGCACATGCCTGGGTTGAGGGTCAGGTTCCCACTACGGGGTGCATGAGAGGCAACCACACATTGCTGTTTCTCTCCCTCTCTTTCTCCCTCCCTTCCTCTCTGTCTAAAAATAAATACACAAAAATCTTTTTTTAAAAAAGTGGAACAAATTGATGTTTAAAAAAAAAAAGGCCGCTTCTAGAAATTTCTGAATTGGGGAATAAATAACATTAAAATGCTACTTTTGAAAGATCCATCCAGTAGAGTTATAGCCAAAGTTAAAGCAGTCGTCTACCTCTCTCTCTCTAATTTCTATCTCTCACTAATTCCTAGCACATTAACAGCCTCAAAATTTTCTAAAACTTGTATGCTCAACATAGTCACTAATTGTCCATGCCTTTTCCTCACTTTAAATGCCTATCCAATTCCAATCTATGTTGTTTCAAGACCCTGTTCAAATCCCAACTTACACAATTAAGTTTTTTTCCTTACAATTCAAGCTCTCATTTTATTGCTTTCTTTCCTCCAATAACTTTATGTCACCCAATTTAGCATTTAATTATATACTGTCTAGTATTATTCACTATTTTTATGAATGTAAATTGTCTCAACTGTATATTAAATTCTTGAAAAACAATCATCATGTCTTACAGTTCTCATCCCCACTACCTAGCACAGTACTTAGTATGTAACAGATTATTAGTTCTTAACTACTGATGATACTGAAACTTGAGGAATGGTAAATCTGAAGTAGAGATTAAAATAGTTAAAAGGACTTGGAGAATGAATTGGAAAGTTGGATAGCATGGGCCTAGAGACCTGGGTGAATAAAGGGTTACATTTAAAAAGGAGGGGAAACTGGAAAAAAGAGCATATTTGCAGAAGATAGGGGCTGAAAAGTTCCACCTGAGATACATTTAATTTTAGTTGTTAGATACCCAGATAGAAATATCCCGCAGGCAACAGAAAAAAAGGACTATAACTCAGATGTGAGATTGATCAACAACAGCTCTGTCACTCAAATGTTTCTATAAATCAAAATACAAGGAGGAAATATGGTCTCACAGACATTCTGATGCGCTTTGCCGATCAGCAAAAAGTTCTCTGGCCATCCATTACAGGAGCACAAAACAGGTCCTGTCCTTTCCATAGGTGGTGGATGGGGAATGAGGCTACACACTCCAACTATTTTCAAAAGTTTACAATTTTTTTAAAAGTCTTTTTCCTAGAACATTTGCAAACTAATGACTGAAATGGTACTCTACATACGGGCTAGGAGAAAATATTCTGGAACCCAGCCATAAATGGTGGCCTTGTGCACAAAGCAAGGAATACCTACAGAGAATATTTGCAAATCCAGGCTTACCCATGTGTAAGCAGGAACAGGGGGCCTCCAGTAAAGAAGGCTGCTTTCTCTGACCTTCCCCAACCTGGGCTATTCCTCACTAGATCTCCTGGCCCTGAGAACCCCTTGGATTGAACCTGGTACCCTCTCGTTATGTCAATCTCCTTGATCCACCAGCCTTTAGACCTGTGAGATCTGTCAAATTATACCAGATGAGTCAGGCTTAAGATCCTGGCCTTTGCTGGCTTGTTCTGCTCTGTTTTTCACATTACTCAATAACCTGTTTGTTTTCCAAAGACAGATTGACTTCTGGTTCCAGCAATATGATGGGGCATACCTGAAATGATTGATAAAGAAGAAAATTCTACATAGATATAGCTGAGCTGAAAAGGAAAAAAAGGAGGGAAGGTTATCACCCAGAGCTAAAAACAAAGAGGGAAATACCTGAATTGAGTTATTGTAAGGAATTCATCAGTTTCCATAACATAATACCTTGTGTTTAAATGTCCACACAGGAAGAGGAGTTAAAGCCGTTAGCCTATAAGGCAGGAGTTGGAACTGAGAATCCCACATAAAACCAGCACCCTTGAAGGGCAGTACCTTCAGTGTGATGGTTGAACTAGAAACCACTGAGCTGAGAAATTAATATAAAAAATGTTATGGGCTAGGGTTAACCTGGACCACTCTCCAAGAGCACTCCCAAAACACATAACCCAAATGATTCACACAGAAAAATAAAATAAGCCCCTCTAAAAATAAGGGCACAGCAAAAGAAAAATTTTAAAACATGGAATGATGCATGAGTCCAACATGAGTGAGAATCAGCAAAAATAAGCAACAGGATTAAACATCAATTACCTTCAAATAACAGAGCAAGTAGAAAATACCACAAAAACACCTAAATGAACTAAAGGTGAGAGACAACACATTAAAATCCAAGTAAAAGAATAGGGCATGATGGAAAAGAGAAATCTGGAAAAGAACCAAATGGAATCTCTACAAGTGAAACATACAGTCATCCAATGAAAATTTATAAAACATTTTTTTAAAGTTCAAAGTCAGGTGACATTGACTGAAGTGCCTTTCTTATGTTTACCAAGAGTTTCTAACAAAGTTTAATTTTAGAATGGCCCGTGGCGAAGTGGTTGATTCCAGGGCTGGGATGGGTAAACTATAACTTAAGTCTGGAGCGCCTTCTGGTACCACAAAGTAAGGAGGTGCCCACAAATGGGTGTGGTCTTGTTGAAAGGGCATAGGAGCCAATTTGAAAGAGTTCCAAATGGCCAAATAAATATCCATGAGTTGACACTAGTATAAATAACTGATGAGTAAATAATGAGTTAACGAATGAATGAATGAATGAATGAATGAATGAAAGGAACAGCTCTTCCTTATAGAAGAATTCTAACTACTAAATGTAGAATC